TGGACCTCAAGTTCCTCATTTTTAAAAAGAGTAGGCAAGCAAAGATGTGAACTCTCAGCTTCCTTCTACGTATAGATTCTTTTTTTTATCCTCACCCGAGGACATTTTTCCATTTTTTTTGTTCAAATAGAGTGGGAAGAAGAGAGAGGAAGAGAGAGAGAGAAAGAAACATAGACATGAAAGGGACACATCTAGTGGCTGCCTCCCGCACGACCCAACCAGGGCCGGGGACAAACCACAACGGAGGTATGTGCCCTTAGTGGGAACTCTTCAGACCGCAAGCCAACGCTCTAACTGCTGAGCCAAACTGGCCATTGCTACATATAGATTCTTGAACTCTGGACTCCACAGGGTAGCTCAACACAGGCCACTCTCTCCTCATGCTCTGGGGCTCCATCCAGGGAATCCTTTCTTTTTGAGGGGTTCATTTATTCATTCAACTACCATCTTCTGAACATCTAGCATGTGCCAGGCATTATTCTAGGTACTGTGTATACAATATCAAAGAAAACAAAGCCCCTGCCATTAGGTGAATATCTGAGAGAAGAGCATTCCAATTAGAGGGAATAGCAGATGCAAAGACCCTGAGGCAAGAGAGACTGTTGGACAAGTTGGAGGGGGAGCAAGGAGGCCAGGGTAGCTAAAGCAAAGGGAGCAGGAGGGAAAGAGTAGGGGAAAGAGTAAGAGAGGGCACATGGCCTGGCGAGTGTGGCTAGCCGATTGGGCATCGTCCCACGGACTGAGAGGTCCCGGTTTAAGTCCTGGTCAGGGCACATGCTGGGTTGTGGGATTGATCCCTAGTGGGGGACATGCAGGAGGCAGGGATAAATGTTTCTCTCTCATCAATGTTTCTATCTCTCTTTCCCTCTCCCTAAAGTCAATTATATATATATATAAAATTATGTAATTTTATATATATATAATATATATTATATAATTATATATATATGAAAAGAGAGAGGACACATGGTCTTCAGGCCTCCTAATGACTTGGCTTTCACTAAATGAAATGGATAACACTGCAGAGCAGTGATCTGATAGTGGCTGGGTTTTTTTTTTTTTTTTTATCCTCACCCGAGGACATTTTTCGATATTTTGTTCAGCGACCCAACCAGGGCTGGGGACAAACTGCAACCGAGGTACGTGCCCTTAGCGCGAACCGAACCCGGGTCTCTCCAGACCGCAGGCCAACGCTCTAACCGCTGAGCCAAACCGGCCAGGGCGTGGCTGGGTTTTAAAGAAGTTTGAGGAGGCCTCTATTCTAGGGGGCTGCAGCTCTGGGAGGCTCCAGCCTCATCCATTCCCAGCTGACTGACTTTGGCCTTAAGTCTCTATTGGTCTTAGTTCTTTTATTTTATTTTATTTTTTATTCCTCACTCAAGAATACTTTTCTATTTATCATCAGATAGAGTGGGAGGGAGGGAGAGAGAGGGAGGGAGAGAGAGAGAGGGAGAGAAATATCCATGTGATAGAGCCACATCGACTGGCTGCCCCCCGCACCACCTGACCAGGGTCGGGGACAAACCGCAACTGCACTATGTGCCCTTTTCCGGAATTGAACCTGCGACTCATTGGTCCGCGGGCCAACACTCTAACCACTGACTGGCCATGGCAGTCTTAGTTTTATATCTAGGAAATAATTCTAAGATTTTCGCTGGGTACTCCTCCTTCACTGTAGCTGACCTAACTGGGCCAAACTTTTTTTTGAATTAATTAATTTTCCTTTGAAATCTTATTTAATATTATGTTTTAAAATTTTTTTAAATTTTTGTTACAAATGTTTCTTTTTTTACCCCATTGACACCCTCCTCCCTATCCCCCCACCCTTTCCCCAGCTTTGTTGTCGATGTCCATTGGTTATGCATACATGCATATAAGTTCTGTGGTTTATCTCTTCCCTCCCCCCACCACCCCCTGACCCGTCCCGCAGGTCGAGCAACGAGGACTCTAGAGGGGGAGTGAGGATGAGGAGGGACAAGAGACACGAGAAATGGAGACAAGACAGGGCTCCGATCAAGTCTCCTTTATTCAGGGGTAATTCACACAATATATAGGGCAAGAAGCACCTGTTGCCAAGCACCAGGCTTGCCCGAAGCAAATCTAGGAAATACTACAAAGGAACAAAAGGTCAGCAAAGACTGGCTTCTTGAGTAAATGGTTACTTAAAGAAATGCAAAATGCAGCGATATCCTGCCTTGGGGCAGGTGATGGCAGAGCAGATTTTAGCAAAATTGATGCCATGCAAAAAGTCTCCCACACCCCCTCTTCTGAGGGTTGTCAGTCTGTACCCTACTTCCACATCTCTGGGTCTATCCTATTCCTCAGATTGTTATGTTCATTATATTCCACAAATAAGTGATATCATATGGTATTTGTCTTTTTCTGCTTGGCTTGTTTTGCTTAGGATAATACTTTCCAGGCCCCTCCATGTCGTCTCAAAGGATAAGAGATCTTTCTTTCTTACAGCTACATAGTACTCCATTGTGTATATGTACCACCGCTTTTTTATCCACTCATCTACTGATGGACACTTTGCTGTTTCCATATCTTAGCTATTGTAAATAGTGCTGCTATGAACATGGGGGTACATATATTCTTTCTGATTTGTGTTTCAGGCTTCTTAGGGTATATTCCTAGAAGTGGGATCTCTGGGTCAAATGGCAATTCAATTTTTAATTTTTTGAGGTAACACCATAGTGTTTTCCATAGTGGCAGCACCAGTCTGCATTCCCACCAGCAGTGTACTAGTGTACTTTTCTCCACACCCTTGCCAACACTTGTCTAATGATTTGTGTGACAAGTGTGAGGTGATACCTCATTGTTGTTTTAATTTGCATCTCTCCGATGATTAGTGATGTTGAGCATTTCTTTATATGTCTCTTGGCCATTTGTATGTCCTGTTTGGAGAGGTGTCTATTCAGCTCCTCTGCCCATTTTTTAATTGGGTTCTTTGTCTTCCTTTTGTTGAGTTGTATGAGTACTCTATATATTTTGGAAATTAACCCCTTATCTGATGTATCATTGGCAATGGTGTTCTCCCATACAGTAGGTTGCCTTTCCATTTTGATGGTTGTTTCTTTTGCTGTGCAAAAGCTTTTTAGTTTGATGTAGTCTCATGTGTTCATTTTTTCCTTTGTTTCTGTTGCCTTAGGTGATCTATCAGTGAAAATTCTGCTGTGTATGATGTCCGAAATTTTGTTTCTTCTAGGATTTTTATGGATTCACGGGTCACATTTAAGTCTTTTATCCATTTTGAATTTATTTTTGTGTATGGTGTAAGTTGATGGTCCAGTTTCTGGGCCAAACTTTTGTGTAGAGGGGAGGGAGCCAACACAAGGTCTCTTACGTTTAATGTGGAATTTCCTATCTCTAGGAAGACCACAGGGTGGCGGTGGTCATGTGGGGGTGCAGGCCATCATTGAGTCCACCAGTAAATTGTCAGCATCTACTTATTCTGAGCATGGAACTCTTTCTGGCTCAGGGGAGGTAAGGGATTGTCAAAAAGCCAGCAAGAAGGCCACGTGCAGTCATGGTGGCCAGAAATGGAACCACCGTGACCCAAGAATCAGGGCCTGTCTCCAGAAATCCATTCAGCTGCCTAATTGCCAGGGAAAGCAGTAATTCCTGGATCTGCTCCTCTCAGACCAGGCCCTGGCCCCTGCATTAGCTCCCTTGGAGTCCCGCTTCTCTTTTCCTTAAAGCACTTGCCACAGTTAAAATTTTACACATATTAGTAGGATTCTTTGATGTCTCTCCCTCACCATTCTAGAAACTACAGGGCGTGACAAGGGCTTTGTCTGTTTCCTTCACTGCTGCATTCCCAGAGGTTCTCCAGCATGGTCCCTGACACATAAAGAGTACTCAGTAAATGCACTGAATGAGAAAATAAGGGAGGAAGGTAAATAATGCTGTTTCCTTTTATAGGCAATAAAACAGCCCTTCTGGCCCAATTCCTATAGTAGGAACACCCAGGAACACAGGGCACAGCCTCCAAGGCCCTCCACTGTTTTCTCCTCCTCTCCCTCTCCAAGGGCACCTCAGAGACAGATTCCAGACCCCAAACAAAACTAATTTCCCATGAAAAGATCCTAGGAAGGAGTGGAGCAAGTGACAGCCCATTGATAACAATAATAGCACTTTCAAAAAAACAAAAGACAATAATAGCACTTACAATGTACCAGACACCATTCTTCCTCAGCAACTCTTTGAGGCAGGCTCTATTAGCATTCCCATTTCACAGTTGAAGAAACTGAGGCACAGGGAGGTAAGTGGTATATCCAAGATAGTAGTAGAGCCTATGTAACAGAACCCAGGCAGCAAATAAAGCTGGAGGCTGAACTCTAACCCATCAGCACAGGTATCAGAAGTCATGTGTTTTTCCACTTGGGCCTTGAGTGCCCCATGTCCTTCTCTTATCTCCAGACTGGGATCATTAACAGTTTCTAGTCTAGCCCTGGCCAGTGTGATTCTGCTGGTTGGGCATTGTCCATGCATGGAAAGGCTGTGGGTTCAACTCATGCCCAAGTTACAGGCTTGCCCAGTAGGGGCCTCTCCCCATGGATGTTTCACTCTCACCTTGATGTTTCTTTCTCTCCTTCTCCCTTCCTTTCTCTCTGAGGAATATATATATATATGATATATGATATATATTTTTATGATATATATATGAAAAAAATATATATATATATATTTTTAAAATAGTGTCTAGCCTATAAGGTTGTTGGGAGATTAAAGCACACAGTTGAGTACAGTGCCCAGCACCTAATGAACAATCAATAAATGTTAAATACTGATCCTCTCATTATTGTTAATCTGGGCCTGCAAGGCAGTATTCTCGCCCAATTTGCAGGTGAGGTCACCCTGTGAGCTGGGCGCCCGCCCTGGCCAGCCCCCACAGGGCGGGGCGAGAGCGGGTGGGACAGAGGTCCTGGGCCCGCCCCGTCAGACTTTATACAGAGAACGCCGGGCGCAAGCGCAGAAAGCCCCGTCGTGCCCCTCGCGCCAGCCTCGAGTGCACGCGCATGGAGCGGCGCGCGAGCTCCCCGGACGAACCCCGCATCCACCGCGGGGCGAAAGTGCTGTTCCGCGGCCCGGTGGAGCCGCTCATCTTCCTGGCCAACTTCGCCTTGGTCCTGCAGGGCCCGCTCACCACGCAGTACCTGTGGTACCGCTTCAGTGCCGACCTCGGCTACAATGGTACCCACGACAGAGGTGGCTGCAGCAATCACAGCCTGAACCCCACCATGCAGGTAGTCGCGGTGTCGGGAGAAACGCGGAGTGGCAGGGAGCGGGCCCTGAGCTAGAGGGTGGGGACAACGGGAGGGGCGGGGCGGGCGTGAGGGTGGGGGTCGCCAAGGGGGTTATGGGTATTGGGGGATGGCCCTGACCCGAAACTGCAGTACGGGGCATAGGTCAAGTTCCTTTAGCCTTAAGAATTAAGCAAGGGGTGCCCTGGCTGGTTTGGCTCAGCGGTTAGAGCGTTGGCCTGTGGTCCAGAGAAAGAGTTAACCAAGGGGGGTAAAAAGTAAGGGAAAGGGACCTAGGTCCATTTTCCATAAGCCCCCTTCCAGAGCGAGTTTTTGAGAGTTGCACTAAAATTCTATGAAGTTTAGTTCCAAAGAAAGTCTCCACCCCTGTATCTCCAGGGTGGTGGTGTTTTGGTGGGGAGTGGGGTGGGAGGAGCCCGGAGTGAGGAAGAACACCCTGTAAGACTCATGCCCCCACAGGAAGTGGAGACCCTTACCTCCCACTGGACCCTCTACATGAACTTGGGCGGCTTCCTGGTGGGGCTCTTCTCATCCACCCTGCTGGGTGCTTGGAGTGACTGTGTGGGCCGCCGCCCGCTGCTGGTGCTGGCCTCGCTGGGCCTGTTGCTCCAGGCTCTGGTGTCCATCTTTGTGGTGCAGCTACAGCTACACGTCGGCTACTTCGTGCTGGGCCGCATCCTTTGTGCCCTCCTCGGCGACTTCAGTGGCCTCCTGGCTGCTGGCTTTGCCTCCGTGGCAGATGTCAGCACCCACAACAGCCGAACCATCCGAATGGCCCTGCTGGAAGCATGCATCGGGGTGGCAGGGATGCTGGCGAGCCTCCTTGGGGGCCACTGGCTCCATGCCCAGGGTTATGCCAACCCCTTCTGGCTGGCTTTGGCCTTGCTGATATTCATGTCTTTCTACGCTGCTTTCTGCTTTGGTGAGACTATGAAGGAGCCAACACCTGCCCGGCTCTTCACGTTCCGTCACCACCGGTCCATCGTGCAGCTCTACATGGCTCCAGCCCCAGAGAAGTCCAGGAAGCATTTAGCCCTGTACTCACTGGTCATCTTTGTGGTGATCACTGTGCACTTTGGGGCCCAGGACATCCTGACCATCTATGAGCTGAGCAGACCCCTCTGCTGGGACTCCAAGCTGATTGGCTACGGTTCTGCAGCTAGGCACCTCCCATATTTCACCAGCCTGCTGGGCCTGTGGCTCATGCGATTCTGCCTGTCTGACACCTGGGTGGCTGAGATTGGCTTGGCTTTTAACATCTTGGGGATGGTGGTGTTTGCATTCGCTACCATCACACCCCTAATGTTCACAGGTAACGTGTGTGGGCCAGGAGCAGTTTGTCCCAGAGGTGCTGGGTGAAAATTGGGGGACAGCTAGCTACTTGCTAATTTATGCCTTTGGAAACATTATGTGTCTAGCCTGCACTGGAGGACAGACAACTAAGAAACCTCATAAAAATGGCATCTTTGTAATACATAAAACATAGACTTTAAGAAGTCAAAGTAATTAATCCACATTGTCAATCATAAATATTGTTAGTAAGATAGAGCAGCAGACAAAAGTATGGCTCATACGCTAATTGCTTCACTCCTTGGCCTCCCACAGACCGTATTCATGGTGTTCTTAGACAAAGTCCATGCTGTTAATGTCTTACAACTCACTTCTCTGATAATCACAGGACCTGCTTCAAATATCCTTGGTCAGATTCGTTGGGTTTTTTAAAATGCCAGTCTTCTCATACCACAGATATCAAATTCCTGCTTGCGTTAGTTCTTTTTTCTTTTTAATTTTGGTGGGAGGGGCAGCTGGGAATGAGGAAATTCACATTTTTAAAGAGACAGCTTTATTTTGATAAAGCTCTAAACTGTGTTGTGTATAAAGTGAACCATTCATTAATCATAGATTTATTAACTTGGCTGCTTGCCTGCAGAGTGAGGCTGAAGGGGACCAGGTACCTTTCTCTCCTGCCCACAGCATCTCCCGTGGACTTGGTGCTGGGGTCAAAGCATTCAGAGGTGCAGAGATGATGACGACACTCATTGCTCGGGGGATCCTCAGCAGAGTGGCCTTACGGTGCCTCATCATTTACTCACTTTGAAGGATCCGCTATCCTCTAGGACAGAGATTTTCAACTCTTTTCATCTCATGATACATAAACTAATTACTAAAATTCTGTGGCACACCAAAAAATAGCTATAATTTTGATTCATTCATACTGGACAGCTTTTGTTGTGCTGGCTGTTATTAGTTATTTTTATTTGATAGTCTAAGGGAAAATAGATCAGTGCCCCTGACTAAATAGTCAGGTATTGCATGTTTTAAAAATTGTGGCACACTGGTTGAAAATTGCTGCTCTGGGGGTTTGCAGTTTTACTGAGAGGCCAATAGTCCCACAGGAGAAAGAAATGGTTATGAAGGAAACAGTGTAAGCCTGTGAGTAACAAAATGCAAAGTGAAAAGGAACTTGCATTTACTGTGTGCTTATTATGCCATGCTCTTCACTGGTGTTTCCTGATGTATCCATTTTCTAGAATGCTGTAACAAGTTACCACAAATGTGGCTTAAAACACAGAAGTTTATTCTCTCACAGTTCTGGAGGCAAGAAGTCAAGAATCCATATCACTGGACCCAAATCAAGGCGTCAGCAGGGCCGCGTTCCTTTCAGAGGTTCTGGGAAGGAATCTCCCTCGCCTCCTCCGGTTTCTGGGGGCTACCAGCATTCCTTGGTTTCTGGCTGCATCACTGTGATGTCTGCCTCTGTGATTACATTGCCTCCTCCTCTTCCGTGTGCCTTCTCTGTTCTGGCTGTGTCAAATCTTCCTTTACTTCCCTCTTATAAGGAATCCTTTAGGGCCCAACCAGATTATCCAGGGTAAACTCCTTATCTCCAGACCCTTAATTTAATCACATCTGCAAAGACCCATTTTCCAAGTAAGGCAACATATACAGATTCCAGGGATTAGGACCTGATGTCTTGGCCATTATTCAGCCTCCTACATCCCAGAACCATCCTGTGGTGAAGGCCTTGTTATCCTTTTACAGATGGGAGTCTGGCCCAAGGTCACACAGTTAGTGATGGTGTAAGGTTTTGAACTTGCAGCTGCCTCCAAAGTCTATGCTTGTTTTATGTGCCATCTCCCTAGTATATGGGTGATACCCGCAGGGACCACGAGGTGTTTCTGACAAGAATGGCACTGGTGGGGAATCAGTATTCATTTGTGAAAGAGGTGAGAACTTGAGAAGAGTAGTCTCCATTCCTCCTTAGTCGTCTCCTTCACCATCAAGGATGTTCTTCCTGTGTCTAACCTGAGTCCCACCTGGGGTGTGTGTAGGAGGTCAGCTTTATCTCGCTTGGGCATCCCTCTCCCTGACCCCATTTTTCTGATGATTGTTTCTGCACAGGGTATGGACTCCTATTCCTGTCATTAGTCATTACACCCATCGTCCGGGCCAAGCTCTCCAAACTGGTGAGCACGTCAGAGCAAGGTAAGTGTCACTGACAACCCGCATCTGGTTTCTTGTGCTCAGTGTTCCCTGAACAAATTGCCCAGGGCAGGCAGAGGAACACAGTGCTTTGGATTTTCAGACCACAGAGTTGGAATTTATGGTCAGCAGAGTATAATTTTGTTCTTTTGGGAAACCCAAGTAGAAGATTTTGCCCTCTCCAGACCTCAGCTTTTCCATCTGTAAAATGGATGCAGTGATGCCAGAGTTCTCTGCTTCACTGGGGCCGGAGCGTACATTCTCAGAGGGAATGAACAACCTTGTGATGTAGGTTTGATTGTCCTCAAGAGGCAGACGAGGAAGCAGAAGCCCAGAGGATTAAATTGACTCACCCAAGGTCACTCAGTAAGTGGTGGAGCTACAATGCAAACCCAGGTCTGTTTTTAAGAGCTGCAGGTCTTGCCTGGCCGGTGTGGCTCAGTGGTTAAGTGTCGACCCATGCACCAAGAGGTTGCCAGTTCAATTCCCGGTGGGCACATGCCCAAGTTGTGGGCCTGATCCCCAGTGGGGGGCATGCAGGAGGTAGCCAAATGATGTTCTCTCTCATCGATGTTCCTATCTCTCTCTCTCTCTCTCTCTCTCAAATCAATAAAGCAAAAAGTATTAGAACAAAAAACAAAGAAGAGCTGCAGGTCTTGGGATCTAGGTTTTAATCCTGGCTCTGTCATCTACTGGCTGTGTGATCTTAAGTGGGTCTCTTATCCTTCTCTGAGTCTGTTTCTTCATTTATACAAGAGTGGGGTTTATATATATATATATATATATATATTTATTTTTTTTTTTTTTCCCTTTATTGATTTTAGAGAGAGAGGAAGGGAGAGGGAGAGAGAGAGAGAAACATCGATGAGAGAGAACATTGATTGGCCACCTCCTGCATGCCCCCACTGGGGATCAGGTCCACAACCTGGGCATGGGCCCAGACCGGGAATTGAACTGGCAACCTCTTGGTACATGGGTCAGTGGTTAGAGCATTGGCCCACAGACCAAAGGGTCGCTAGTTCGATTCCGGTCAAGAGCATATACCTCAGTTGTGGTTCAATCCCTGGCCCTGGTCATGTGGGAGGCGACCAGTCAATGTGTCTCTCTCATATTGGTGTTTTGGTGTTTCTCTTTTTCTCTCTCCCTCCCTCCCTCCCTTCCTCCCACTCTGAAAAAGCACTGGAAAAATATCCTTGGGTGAGAATTAAAAAAAAAAAAAAGAGTGGTGTTATTTTTAATGTTTTTATTGATTTTAGAGAGAGAAAGGTAGAGGGAGAAGCATCCATAAGAGAGAAACATCAATTGGCTGCTTCCTGCACGCCCCCTTCTGGGGATTGAGCATACAACCTGGGCATGTGCCCTGTGTGGGAATCAAACCAGTGACTCTCCGTGCATGGGATGAGGCTCAACCAACAGGCACAGCAGCCAGGGCAGGAGTTCTTGATGACATCTATAGACCCTTTCAGCTCTGACAGTTTAATCTCAACTTCTGTTGGGTTATTGCTCATTACGCAATATTTGGATTCTGCTGGCATATTTGTAAAGAATAGCTTTTCTCAGGCCTCTGTGTCTTTAGCCCCCAATCTGGAAACATCTGGATCATCCACTTTTCCCCATCTGCCCTGCAAGGAGGACCTGGTTTCATACATCGCCTACTATCAGTTTTGTTGTCCCAGGACCCAGGTGCTTTTATTTATTCACTCAATAAGCTATTTCTCTAGCACCTTCTCTGTGCCTGGAGGTGCCAAGGGGAACAAGAGAAAAGAACAGCCCTTACCACCTGGCTTCCTCCAGGAGTCAGGCCCTATGATAGGGGTTTACATGGGAGTTTAATGTTGCCAACAATCTATGAAATAGGCAGTATCCTTATTTAATAGAAGGGGCACTGAAACCCAGAAGGATGAGCAACTTATTCAGTGACCACACAACTAATAAGTGTTGGAACTTGGAATTAACCCCACAACTAACCTCAAACAGGATATGATTCTGAACATGATCAACCAAAAACCATTTTTCTCAGGCTTTTGCTAGAAGAACCCACATTTCCCTTTTGTTTTGTTTTGTTAATCCTCACCTGAGGATATTTTTTCCATCAATATTTTAGGGAGAGTGGAAGGGAGGGAGGGAGAGCAAGAGCGAGTGAGAGAGAAACATCGATTGGTTGCCTTCCACATGTACCCTGACCAGGGCCAGGGACCAAACCTGCAACCCAGATATGTGCCCTTCACCAGAAATCTGACCCATGACCCTTTGGTCCACAGGCTGGCACTCTAACCACTGAGCCACGCCAGCCAGGGCCACACATACTTTTAATACGTGGATTTAATAACAGCCATTTGTCTCATAGCCCCTGTATGCCAGGTGCTATCCATGCATTGCTTCATTTAAACCTTATCACAACACATGATATAGGATTTATAGATGAGAAAGGTGAGACTCAGATTAAATGACTTGCCCAGGTCACACAGCTGGGAGGTAGTGTTGCCAGGTTTGAACCTCGGTCTTTCGGACTCCACAGTGTGATATTTATTTCTTCACAGGTGCTCTCTTTTCTGCTGTGGCCTGTGTGAATGGCTTGGCCATGCTGATGGCCTCTGGCATCTTCAACTCGCTCTACCCAGCCACCCTGAACTTCATGAAGGGGTTTCCCTTCCTCCTGGGAGCTGGCCTCCTCTTCATCCCTGCCATTCTGATTGGGTAACATGGCACCCTGACCCAGGCTTATGCTCTTTATCCCAAAGGTTTCCTCTTTCTCCGTCTCCTCCCGACCAGAAATGGCTGCCTCATTCCTGGAACCCTTCCTCTGTGGGTGTTTCAGTCCCAGCCTGACTTGCCCCTTGCAGATGGCTGCCTAATCCTTGGGGAGCCATTTCCCAAGGGCAGGACAGAGGGGCAGTAGGGGAAGGGTCAGGCTAACACTGCTTCTTGGCAAGGCTGTTCTCTCCCACTTGTCCCCCTCCATTCATATTTTATAGATGGAACTATGTTGACAGATCTGCTAAAGGGGAGCCGGAGAGCTTCCTTGGCTAGTTGTGGTTTCGCCACAGGCCAGCCCACTGACTTCTTTTCCCCGTAGCCTAAGAGTCACTTTGCAGAGCCCTCTTCTCAGGACATTATCTTTCCCCTCTATGTTGGGAAGGATATCACCCAGTAAAGCCTGTGTCACTTCGGGAGTTGAGGGTTCCCCCATGTCAAATCTGAACCCTCTTTCTGCTGCCTCACAGGATGCTGGGAAAGACTGATCCTCACTCTGAATTCCAGCAGTTTTCCCAGAGCCCCTGATCGGCCTGGACCTAAGGACAGAGGGCAAGAGGAGCGAAGTGAGCACTAACCAACTGGAAGTATGCACCTGGGACGCCCCACAGCAGCCCCAGCAGCGCCCCTCAAAGGCAGTGTTCACCTTGGATAAGGTGGTTGAGCCAGACCAGGCCCCCACCTCATCCATAGCTGTGCCAGCCTATGACTTGAGGATCTAGAATTGTAACCCCGACAGTCTGACTCCAGGGGAGAGGAGAAGTCCTGATGGAGGCGAGGCCTCAGGGACCAGGTGAAGCATGAGGGGCTGGCATCTGCTTCCAGCCCAAACTGCACAGCTCACAGTGCGCAGATCATGGTGCATGGCCACCAGTCCCTCCTTAGTGATGAATGCTTTGAGGGGAGGAAGGGTTGTAGGAATGGAGAGTGCTACTGACTCGGTGGAATCAACCCCCTGGGCTTAGCAGTGCCAATCATCATAATAAAGCAATATAAACACACTGAAATGAACCTCCCTGCATCCAAGGCATTGGGTTGTGGGCCTTTTATGTTCCTGTCTGTCTGCCCACCATAGGTTAGGCAGCCAGCTGCTGGGCTGGGCAGAAGCCCTAGCTGCCATGAGATTGGTAGTGGGCATGGCCAGCCCAGACCTCATCTGACTGCCCACTCTGTTCTCCTGAGCTATTGGAAGATGGAGGGCTGCCAGGTGGGTATTAAGCCAAGCAAAGAGGCTTGGAGCAGAGCCCTGGCCACTCATTCCTGAGGGTGTCAGAGATCGCTCCCTGGAGGCACCTGTACTGGCCTTCCTGGCTACAGCAGCCCGCGCAGAATTAGTTTTTACCACTCAGCCCTCTAGCACCTCCCATCGCCACGTATTTCATCAGGGCCTTGTGCTGAGACCATCCCTCATGCATCTGTAAATCAATAGGAACCTGGAGATGGGCCTGGCTCCCCATGATCCAGGGCTCCAGCTTTCCTGAGAACGAGGGGGCCATGTCTAGGGCTCAGTGAAAGCCTGGACCTGAAGTTGAAAGGCAAAATTGGATTCACTATTGAGGTACCGGCTTTGATGAGGGCCATAAGCCCCCAGATAGACCCAAATCGGGTGGTGCTTGACTCTTCGAACTAGAATTGACCATAGGGTTCAGCCCTGACGCCATTTCTACCCCATTCTCTCTCACCAGCCTTGCCAGTCAGTTTTCTGGCAGAAATCACTCAAGTAATACCAGGGGGTGGCGGGTAGCTAGGGCAAACCAGGGTCAAATGTGGCTTCTGCATCCCAGGTCTGCTTCTAGATTCTCATCTCTGTCCCCTCTGTCGTCCACTGACTGTCCCAGCATGAGGCAGGGGAGGAGAGAGAAAAGACTCTAGTTGGCCTCAGGTCTGGGCTCGCCTCCAGCCCCCGCTCTGGCTCACAGGTGACCTTGAGCAAGCCCCCCTGTGAAAGGCTAGATCAGGATGCCCCAAATTGATTGTGGTTGGACAAGTTCGGAAACACTGGATTAGGGGATGAGGTGGAGCTGGACTTTTGACCTCTGAGTGCTCCTGAGCAGTTAGTTTTTGTTCCTGGGGAGGGGTGGGGTGAGGTGGGGGAGGGACCTAGTTGACTCATCCCCGACCTAGAGGCAGCAGCTACAGTCTAGCCAAGCAGAGCACCCTGGCCTGGAGACCTGTGTCAGAGCAGGCTTTGGGGGAAAAGCTATTTCTCAGCCCTCAGAGGCCAGGCCTGGGTGGAAGATGAGGGCCAAGGTGCCTGCCTTGCCCATGGTCTGGGCAGTATTTGTCATGGCAGGGGTGACAGTCCTGAGAACACACGGGCCTGGCTGGAGGGAGCGTCATCACTTCAGTGGCTGCGGTGGGGGTGGGGGGCTGAACTCTGACTCCCCAGAGAGATAAGAGGGGCAGCTGAGGAGGGTGTACCAAACAGAAAAAAACGGGGCTGGGAAACCTCTGAATACTGCCCACAGGGGACCTCAGGAGGGAGTGGGGTTGGGGACAAAAAGACAGAAAGCTGCTCCTGGAGGATATTCGCCACACTGTATTGTTACTGTCTGCTCTGTGAGGGCAGCATCCAGTCGGCCTTGGTCATCATCAGATCCAGGACCTGGCAGTGGCGGGCACTCTGGTGGCATGAAGGGAGAAGTGCAGGCAGGGCCGAGTCGGGGCCAGGGCCAGCTGAACCGTATCTGGCAGGGAGGGAGTGGAAGGAAGAAGGCCCAAGCCTGAAGTGAGACCTTTGACTTCCTGACCATGAGGCTCAAGAGCTAAGAGTGACCTGGTCAGCACCTGCAGGAGGCGCTCTGCGGGCCGCGCCAGCCTTGACGTGTGAACCCACGGCTCTTAGCAGGGAAGAGGCAGGGCTGGATAGCTGGAGCCTCCGACCCTCCTGGAGGAAGGGGCAGAGGGATGTTCCTGCTTATTTATTTCTGTATGGCCCCTGGGTCAAAACCTGTCCCCGCTTCTAGATTCTTTCAGGCGAGGAAGAAGCCAGCTGTCTCCAGGATGACTCTCAGGCGAGCAGTCCCCCCAGCAGTGGGCTGAGCACCAGGAGGCCAGGTCTGGGTCCTGGGCTGCGGCTCATGGCTTGGAAAACAGCACACCATTCGAGTCCTCTGTAAAATGGAGATAATACCGGGTAGGGTTGCTCTGATGGTTACAGAGACTGTGGAGTGGGGGGCTGGGGGAATGCTGAAGGTGTGTGAGGGATTTGCATTTCAGAGCCTTTCTACTGAAGTGTCATTTCTTGACCAGCGTTGGCTCACCAGGGAATCAGAAGTGCCGGAATTCAGGCCCCACCCTGGGTCTCCTGAATGGAATTTTAACAAAATTCCCAGATGATTTGAATGCATCCCTCCTGCCCTTCCTCAGGACACTGCCTCTTTCCAAGGAGCTGCAGGTTAAGCCCAAGTTACTGCTGGGAGGAGCTGGGGAAGTCAGCTGGGCCAGGAGCCCAAGGCACAGCACCAAGGCCTGGGGAGGTGGCTAGCAGCCCTTGGAGACGTGGCCTCCCCGCCCAGGCCCAAGCAGGGAGCGCCCATGCACCAGCGAGTGCTTTAAACTCAGGCGCAGCTGCAAACCAGCCAGAGTGAGGGCCGCTTCAGCCCAGCCCTGACCCCAGATGTGGCAAAAGAGGCGATACCTCAGGAAGCTGGGAGGGAGTTGGGACCAGGCAGGGCCGGCTAAGGGCACTGAGTGATTACAGGGCAAGGCCACAGCGCGGCAGGAAGTGGTGAGCCCAGGGACCACAGTCTAGGTGGAGAGCATCACTGGCTTCTCATCCCGCTGGCTCATGCCCAGGCCACTTGGTCTGGCCGGGAGGGCTGGGCGTTGCCTTAATTCCTGTCAGAGGCTGCCTGACGTCCCCCTGCTCAAGCTGGCTAATGTCGCGGCAGGAAACGGGGTTGTGTGCAGCAAACCTCTCTTCAGTGTCTCCAGAGCTGATCAGTGACCCTCACACCTGAGACAGGGAACCTGGTGGCAGGGCTTAAGGGCGGCTAACCCTTACCATGCCAATGCCCAGCTTCCCTTCCCTTTGCGGGTGCTGAGGAAGCTGGGTTTGCGGTGGCCCATGAGGGTCTGGGAGAGGAAGAGCCATTTCCTGAGAAGGGCCCAGGCTATGTCAGCCCAGGAAGACTGGCGTGAGGAGCTGCTCCTTCCAGGGAGATGATGGAAATGGGGGTCACAGCAGGACGTGGGAACTAGGGACTGGTTAACTTGGGCCCATGGGAGCAGCACCCTCCAAACTGGTGTCGGAGCCCGCAGATGAGTCCCGGGAGGAGCGGCCCTGCAGGAAGCGGATGATCTTCTCAATGGTGGCCTCCTGATACTCGTGGGACCACCTGTGGGCACAGGGGTGGGTGGGTCAGAGGGCTAGGCAGAGGGAGTTGCTGGCTGGGGGCCTGTGGACCCACCCACCCCCTCCTCACTTGATGCCATTGAAGGTGAGCACGGCCTGCATGTCCTCGGGCAGAGCCTGGGGCTCTGGCCACTCGAAGCCATCAATGATGGGCACGATGTTCTTGCCGCAGCTCAAAGCAGTCACGATCTCCTGCAGAAAGAAGGGAGGAGGAAGAGACCAGGGCCCCCAACTAGGGACCCTGGGGCCAGGCAGACACTGGGAGAGCCAACAACATCCTGAGGGTGGAGCCAGGGTGGGATACTGGCCCTTAGGTCCACCTTGACTTCTCCCTCACCCTTTGTGGTGTAATAAAAAATAAATATTTGGTCTTTGTCCTAGGTTCTTGGTCCAGAGCTCTTAAAACCTTTCCAATCTCCAGGTGACCGGAGTTGGGGAGTGCCTGGGTAGCTTCAGGATGGGGACTGGTTGAGGGAAAGATCAAGTCCTGATTCAAGGGTTGGAACTTTTAATTCGCCCCACCCAGCCCCAAATACACCCACCCAGGGAAGAGAGAGGGGCTGGAGATTAAGTTCAAGCACCAAGGGCCAATGACTTAATCATGCCATGATAAAACCTCCATAAAGAACCCCTAAAAACGGCCCTGGCCGGTTTGGCTCAGTGGTTGGAGCAGAGAATCCCTGCTCCAACCAGAGAGTCCCGCGGACCAGAGAGTCCGGGGTTCAGTTCCTGCTAGGGGCACGTACCAAAAATAAACACAAAACCCTAAAAGTGGAGTGGGTTGGTGAACAAATCTGGTTGCTGGAAGAGTGGCCTGGGGAGGGCACCTCCCCTGCCTGCACCCGTCCCCCAGACCTTTATATTCTTTATAAAAGTAGCCCTGGTTTACCTCTGTGGTTGGAGCATCGGCCCTCGGACCAAAGAGTCTTGGATTCGACTCCAGTAAAGGGCATGTACCTTGGTTGCGGTTCAGTCCCCACCTCTGCTTGGAGTCGTGTGGGAGGCAACCAATCAATGTGTCCCTCACATCAGTGTTTCCCTCTCTCTCTTTCTCTCTCTGTCTCTCCTTCCCACTCTATCTGAACATAAATGGAAAAATACCCTCGGGTGAGGATTTAAAAAACAAACAAAAAAACAGCAAATAAAGTGCTTTCCTGAGTTCTGCACATCATTTTAGCAAATTATTGAACCTGGTTGGAGGAGTCATGGGAACCCCTGAATTTGTAGCCAAGTCAGAAAGGTGGGTAGCCTGGGAACCCAGAACTTTCGACTGGCATCTGAAGTGAGGGCAACCTTGTGGGACCGAGCCCTTCTACCTGTGGAGTCTGACATTCGCTCCGGGTGGTCAGTGCAGTTGTCCCTCGTTTATCGCGGTTAATCAGTTCCAGACTCTAGCAGTTGCATCTGGCGTTGAAGGATTCCTGGGGTGCTCGACTAGTCTATACGTACAGTCATTTTAATTGTAATTGTAATACAGAGGTGTGTAATTGACTCAGACAACTGAGCGTGCGCTGTATCATTTTCACTGTCTCAATCAACTTTTTAATGAATATATTAGAAAAAAAACGCAATGGAGTGAAGCCGCAAAAGTCAAAGCGCAAAGTGGTGAGGGACGACTATATCAGAAATAAATTGAATTGTGGCACACAATTAAGTATTTAGCAACAACAGGCTCTCATAGCCTCTGCAGCACGTTACAGTTGCAAATTTAAGTTAATTGATAAATAATTTACTTAATATCTGTCTTCCCCACCAGACGAAAGGGCAGGGATGATATCTGGTTTTTACTCACCTTATTTCTCAGTCTCTTTCACTAAGCCATGCTAAATACTTAATGGGCGCCTGGATGAATGAACGAATGAAAACAACATAGCATAACAGTTAGGGAATACACTGTGGAACCATCCGACCAGGGCTCACATTGAGTCTCTGGCACAGGCTTTGTGACCTGAGGCAAAAACAACTGGTTTCAAAGCCTCTGTTTTCTCATATATAAAATAGGGTTAATGCCCAGCCGGTGTGGCTCAGTGGTTGAGCATCGACCCATGCACCAAGAGGTCGCCGGTTTGATTCCCGGTCAGGACACATGCCCAGGTTGTGGGCCAGACCCTCGGTGAGGGGCAAGGAGGCGGCCAATCTATGTTCTCTCTCATGATGTTTCTGTCTCTCTTTCCCTCTCCCTTCCTCTCTGTCTAAAATTAATAAAGGGGAAATTTTTTTTTAAATACATAAAATGGACTCTGGCCGGTTTGGCTTAGCGGTTAGAGCGTTGGCCTGTGGTCCAGAGATACCCGGGTTCGGTTCCCACTAAGAGCATGTACCTCGGTTGCAGTTTGTCCCCGGCCCTGCTTGGGCCGTGCGCGTGGCAACCACTCGATGTGTCCCTTTCACGTCAATGTTTCTCTCTCTCTCCCTCCCACTCTATCTGAACAAAAAATGGAAAAATGGCCCTGGCCAGTTTGGCTCAGCGGTTAGAGCGTCGGCCTGCGGTCCGGAGAGACCCGGGTTCGGTTCCCGCTAAGGGCACGTACCTCGGTTGCAGTTTGTCCCCAGCCCTGGTTGGTCGTGCGGGTGGCAGCCACGCGATGTGTCCCTTCACGTCGATGTTTCTCTCTCTCTCCTTCCTTTCTCTCCCTCCCACTAAAAATATCCTTGGGTGAGGATAAAAAATAAATTTAAAAAAAAAAAAAAAAGGAAAAATGTCCTCGGGTGAGGATTTTAAATAAACAAACAAACAAACAAACAAACAAATAAATAAATAAATAAATAAAAGAGGGTTGATGACAGTCCCTATCTTGGATCATTGGAAGGAGTAGCTACGATATCACATCCCATGGAAAGTGGCTAGAACAGCGCCTAGCACGTAGTACATGCTTAATAAATAATAGGCGCTATTATTTCCTCCTCTGCAAAGTGGGGATAATAAACCTACCTCACAAGGGTGTTCTGAGGGTATTACTTACTATTAACGGGTGCTCTGGTAAGTGCTTATTGAACGTTCTTGGTTTCTTTTTCTTCCAAGGGGGGAACCACAGGGACTGGACTGCCCTGAGTGCAGTTCGCTTGTGGTTTTTCCATATTGATTACCCACTAAATGTGGCTTCAGGGAAAGGAGTTTTAAAACCAAAGGCAATTAAGCACTAAAAACAATCAAGGAGGGATGATGGAGCCATTGGGACTTTTCCAAGGCAAAGGCTCCCACCTCCCCGCCTGCCTCCTCCCTCCTTGCAGTCCGCTGGGACAGCACTGGGTGCCAAGACCCTTGAGCACAGCCTTCCTGGGGAAAGTACCTGCATAACTTCAACCCTGATTGACTCATGGGGAACCTCTCCATTTTACAAAAAAGAAGGAGGCCCAGAGAGGGGAAGGGACTTGCTAGTAAGTCACACACACACCCAGCCGAGGAGGCGCCATGCTTTGACTCATGCCTTCAGATCCCAAGTCCAGGGCTGTTTCAACCAAGCCCTCTGTGTCTCTGCTGAGAATCTGAATGAAGTCTGACCCTGCAGCTATTTGAAAACCTTGAGACATTTGCTTCACCCAGAATTACACAGAACCAAAAACAGTACACTGCTAATCGAATAGATTCGGAAGCTGGCCAAGAGAGGGAAAATGGATTCAAGATCACTCAGCTGGTGAAGAATAACTTGATTAGAGGTAAGTCTTCTGACCTAGTAGATAGCTATGGTTTCCCCAGTCATCTCAGTATCACCAGAATCACTCATCTGTTTTACCAATGATTCAGTTCTTCTATAAAATCTCCAAGAGCCTGCTTGGTACCATGCATGGTTCAGGCATGAGGGATACCGTGTGGGTAAGGCAAGGTCTGAGCTCTCATGGAGCTCACAGACACTTGTCTCTTTCTCTCAGAAGGCCACCTGCCACCTGCTCTAGGCCTTCAGCCATGACCCTCCCCAAACCAAGCCTGATAGTCAGCCCCTAAAACAGCCTCTGGGGCTTGACCCCCTTTCCCACTGTCAATCTGGTCTGCACTCCAGTGTCAGAGCCTTCTCCCTGGAACCCACTGGTGTGGCGTCAGTACACTCCTGGGACCCCTTTTCTCAGGGCCGTAAGCACAAGTCTCTCCCTCCCTGTCTTAGGTGCTCCACAGCCTTGTCCCATACTTCTTATCCAGCCAGTGGTCTGCTGATAAACGTTCAGCTAGCTATCCAGGGAGAAAACACAGCCCACCCACCAAGCACATAAAATCCCAATTTGTAGTCATTACTGATTTCCTTACTGTAAATACTCCCACCATGGCTGACTTTAAGCTGCCAATATGACATCACTGGACATGGAGTTGGAAAGAAAGGCAGACAATCATCTCTGGTGTCAGCTGAATCAGCCCTCTCCCACCACCTCCCACAAACAACCTCAGGCCTGTGCCATGGAACACAGGTCCTGGGAAAGGGCATGAGCTGTGCAGCCAGAGAGACGGGGCTCAAGGCCCAGCCTTTCTGATTTCTACCCCAGTGTGGCCATGGCAAAAATCTGCTTCTCTGAGCCTCAGTTTCTTCATCTGTGACATGGAGAAAGCAATCCCAGTGATGCATGGAGGTTCTTGTACCTTTCTCATCCCTAATTTTGATTTTGCTCATGCTGTTCCCCTGCCAGGGATGCTTTCTCTTTCACCTACCTAAATTCCTGAGACTCTTCTCAAGTCCTGTCTCCTCCACGAAGCTTTCCCTGATTATTCCTGCCCTTAATGTTTTCTCCCTTCTCCATGCTCCTATGGCAAGAAAGATGTTCACCTACCTGGATTCATCCTGGACATATTCTTGTCTCCTTAGCTGCTTTAGGACAAGGGCCCCATCTCAGATTACTTCTGCACCCCTCAGCCCTGGCCCCAATTCCTATTTATTGGTTAATGATTAATAACCTGCAGACATGATATGGCTCCATCCATCCACCTGCTCTACAAGTATTCAATAAGTGTCTACTATGTGTCAGGCACTGAAGATACAATGGTGAGTTAAACAGTACTCATAATAATTATATTAATAATAGTAATCGCTACCATTATAGAACAATTACTATACCGCCAGGCATTCTGCTAAGCCCTTAACAGATTTTAGCTCTTTTAATCCTTATAACAATATCCTAGGGAGTTAGGTACTATAATTACCCACTTTACAGTAATAAACATGAAGCTCATTGGGATGAAGTAACGTGCTCAAGGCCAGAGCCAGGACTCAAACCCATAGCTTTGCGTTCTTTTTTTTTTTAATCCTCACCAATGATTTGTTTTTATTGATTTTAGAGGGAGAGGAAGGGAGAGAGAGAGAAACATCAGTGTGAGAAACATCAATCAGTTGCCTCCCATATGCGCCCAACGGGGGATTGAACCCGCAACCTAGGTATGTGCCCTGTCTGGGAACCAAACCTGCAACCGTTTAGTGCATAGGACAGCGCTCTGACAAACTGAGCCTCACTGGCCAGGGCAAGCTTTGTGTTCTTAATGATTCCATTGTGCCTAACAATGTGCTCCCCTGCCTTCCTCCATGAGGTTATTTTTCAAAGTATTTTCATTCCTTTCTGACCCTCACGACAATCCTCTAAGATGAATAGGACAGGTAAGTTATGTCCATTTTGTAGATGAGAGAAATGGGCTCAGTGAGCCTAAGTGACTTGGTCGAGTCCTATTACAGTAGGAGCTGTGACTGCTGACTGCCAGCTGGGCTATGGAGGTTGCTGGAGTGTACAGATGAGAAAGAATAGGAGGAGAACCTTGTCCCCTGAGCCACAGGCCAATGCTGGGACCACAGACGCCAGCACCTACCTTGTGCACCCAGTCCTTGCAGTCATGGTCCTGCATGCACTTGTCCAGTGCCCCGGCCGACAGCACCAGCACAAAGTTGCGGGCACCCATGACACTCTGGATGAGCTTGTCCTCAAACTTGCCCGCTTCCAGTTTCTCCACATCAATGAAGACACTGAAGCCATGAAGCTGCAGGTGCACCTTCAGGAGGCTGTGAAGAGGTCCTATGTCACTGCCCTGGCCTTGCACCAAGGCCGGAGGCTGCCTGCCTGCCCGCTCTTCCTCACCTGGCCAGCTGGGAGCCTGAGCTCCGGCGGTAGCTGATGAACACATCCGGAATGTCCCCGCTCGGCTTGCAGCCAGTGCAGGGCAGCGGGGAGTGTAGCATTTCTGAGGGGGTCAAGAGACAGCGTGGTGAGGGTGGCCCCTCCCCATCACTCACAATGAGGTACATTATCCTTTGCCCATCCAGCCTTCTCAGCCCAGCCCAGCCCAACCCAGCCCAGGCAGGGTGCCTTGCTCCAAAAAGGGTCACTGAGGTAGAGAGGTGGGGTCTACAGGAAGTAAGGCTTATAACGCTTGGTGAGTCCCTCTCAGGAGGCAGGCATTGTGTTTTAGGGACATTGACATGCACCTTCAGTCTTGCCCTCTCTCTGAAGCTCCAGACCTGCACAGCCCGCTGCCCACAGGCGCTCCAAACCCAACGCATCTTAAATCTTCCTATAGTCTCTTTCCTCCTAGTTTCCCACCAAAGTCAGAAACCTGGGTGTCAGCCTCACCTCCTGCCTCATTCATTCATTCCTTCAACAGTGTTTACGAAGTGCTTACTGTGTGCCAGGCACTATACTTAGTGCTTGGGATACAGCCATGAACAGAACAAACAAACCCTGCCCTTGTGGAACTCATGTTCAGTGCTCAGCATCAGGCACCGTGTTTTGTGGATTCTTCCTACTAAATAATTAGACTCCAGCCTCAGGGCCCTCCCTGTGTTCAGGCCCCAGCTCTAGCCTTTTCAGTGGTCTCCCAAATCCACACTTGCCCTGTCTAATCTGTTTGCACAGCCACCAGAGAGATCTTTCTAAAATCCAAGTCTGAACATATCATTGCCTCCACTTAAAAAACATTAATTGCGCCTTGGCCGGTTTGGCTCAGCAGTTAGAGCATCGGCCCGCAGACCAGAGAGTCCCGAGTTCGGTTCCCGCTATGGGCATGTACCTTGGTTGCAGTTTGTCCCTGGCCCCTGTTGTGGTCATGTGGGTGGCAACCACTCAATGTGTCTCAAATTGATGTTTCTCTCTCTCTTTTCCTTTCTCCCTCCCACTCTATCTGAAGATAAATGTAAAAATGTCCTCAGGTGAGGATAAAAACCAACCAAACAAACAAACAAACAAACAAAAAAACATTAATTGCTCCTTACTCCCTGTAGAAAAGAGATTTTTAAGTTATTTTTTCCACAGTAGCCTTAAAAAAAAAAGAAACCTAAGGTTTTCTTAGGAAATGATAAAAATTGACCAGCTTTGAGATGAAGTTTAGTAAGTACTTGCTGAATGAATATGTGAATGAAAAGAATCCATCTTCTCATAATATCAGACTTAACATTCACAGACAACATCTGTGGTTTATGAAGCAGGAAGGGAGGGTTTCAAATCCTAATTCTATTATTTAATGGCTTTTAGACAATGGAAAATGTATTTAAATTCTTTCATCTTAGTTTCATCATCTTTAAAATGAACACCCTTGATGCAAATATTATTTATCTTTGATTATGATGGTAGTTACACTGGAATAGGCATTTTCAAAACTCTTCAAACTGGACACTTTTAAGTTAAATTCTATCTCTTTCATTCTTTAAAAAGTTGATTTAAAAAATTAACACCCACTGCATCAAATGGATGTAGAGATTAATGAAATAATACCTGTTCAGAACTTAATACAGGACCTGGCATATAGTAATTGACAATAAATATTAGCTGAATAGTAAGCAAAGAGGGTTGCGAGAGCCCTCATAACCTCCCTAAAGTACCTCCAGAAACCATACTGTGTAAGCTGTTGTCTAATAGAATAAACCACCTGTCTTCCCACCCATAACTCTTGTATGGACTCTCCATCCTCTGTCTCACCTCCATACTCGCATATGCTGATCCTTTTACCTGTCTGCTCTTCCTGCTGCTGCTACCCCCCACCCCCCACCCCTGCAGTATATCCTTCAAGACATGGTGGTCCGGGTAGGCAGGACTTCCTAGATGCCTAGACCTGGGTGGACAGGGTAGGCAGTACTTCCTCTAGGCTCCCACTGAAGTCCTAGGCATGCCTCCTATTGTGATCACCCCCAGTTTATATGCCTACCTTACTCCCACCCTCCTACCTATACACATCAGACTGGGAACTTCTTGAGAGCAAGTGCAACACATTCATCTTTGCACCCTCAGAATCCAGTCTGGCACAGCATCTGGCTCTGAGGCCCCACTATGTGTGTCCCCTTGACCCCCCAGGGATGGAGATGGGACAGGGGTAGGGTCCCACATGGGCAGGCTGACCTCTGGCGGCAGTGACGATGCGCATGCGGTGTACGCCCAGGCAGATGCCACAGTCCTCCAGGAGCTGCTGCTCTGACACCCGGTGCAGCAGGGAGCGGTCCAGGCCGCAGCTGACCAAGCCATACGTGTACTGGCGGAAGCGCGGGTCCAGGCTGCCCAACCAGTCAGCCAAGTTGCTGCGGTCACACGTAGCGTAGTTGGCGAAGGTCTTGAGCTCTGTGAGCTCCCTAAAGAATCTGAGCCCCAGGGAGGAGAGGACACTGAAGTTCTGACTCAAATTGGCTAGTGGCCAAGGGGGTGTTTCGGCTGGGGGGGGGGCGTGGCAGGCAGGCAGGAGGCTCCGTACCTCTTTCGGGTGATGCCAGATCTCATGCCCAGGTCGGACTGGAGTTCCTCTTCTGTGAGCCGAAGAAGCAAGTCGCCATCTACTTGCAGCTCCTAGGGATGGGGTCAGAGATAAGAAAGGAGGAAGGAAGGGCTGGCTCCCTTTCTCAGACCTGGACCCCAAGCACAAGATGCAAGGGGAGAGAACTGGAGAAGGGAGAAGGGGAAGTGGATGAGACCCAGATTAGAGCCGAGGAACCCTGAAAAGTGCTGATCACAGGCTCCCCACCCCCAAAAGGCCACCCTGGTGCCAAGGGCCTGCAGGACCAGACAGGCAAGGTCGCCTGCGTGCATGGCGCCCTCCGCCCTCCGGGATGCCCCAGCTCTGGCGTAGGCTCTGACTCGGGAGGCAGCCCTGCGCGACTATACCCGGAAACGTTCGCAGTACTGGGAGAAGCCGATCTGCTGCAGCCACATCTGGACCTCGGCCTCCTTCCAACTGGGCACGCAGGGCAGGATGGGCCTCGGCACCTCCTCATCCAGCAGGCGCAGCGCGCGCTTGGCCAGTGCCGACGTGGTACCATTTGTGGAGTAGGAAACAAGGCGTTTCAGGCTTTGGATGGCACCGATGTCACTGAATACCTAGGGAGGGTGGAGAGAGGGTGTCTTGTACGCACCAGCTTTCCAGCAAGCTGTGCCCAGTCCCTCCCTTGTGCTTAACTTCTTCTCACTGCTGAAAGTTCCACCATCGGCCCTAGCCCTGCCTTCATCCAATAAATCATCAGGTCCTCTGGATTCCCCTTTCTGAAGCTCTCTCAAAGCTCTTGACCAGGCAGGTCCTCTTCATGTCTCCCCTCTACATCTTCCATTTGTCCTGGGGATAGTCTGAGCTCTCAGTATGGCCACCGGGCCTGGCACAGTGCAGCCTCTGTCCACCACTCCCAGCTCACCTCACCTTTCACCAACCAACACTTGTCTGACATCCACCCACGAAGGTTCTCCCATCTCTGGGTCTTGGGCCATGGTGTTCCCAGACCTTTAGCTCCTCCAGGCTATTTTGGGGAATCCTGTTCATCCATTGGAATCCAAATTGATTAGCACCTCCACCTTGCAGCCTGCTTTGATTCCCGCCCAGTTTGGTCCACACCTCCAATTAGACCTTGTACCACACTCTGAATGCCACTGGCATTAGTTGATAATGCAACTTCTACTGAATGATAAGCTGAGGTCATGTCTTAGTCACCCCTGGAGTCCTGTACCTGGCACAATGCAGGCAACAGAGTGAGGGCTTACTATGTCTTTACTGAACTGCACTCACTAGCCTTGCTGGGGTCATGGCTGCTGCCCAGACCCAATACTTCCCTACTCCCAACTCCCCTTTAAGGCTTGTCCTAAAGCAAATGACCTGCTTTGAAAAGCCAGTCCTCCCATGGTCCAACTCTGGGGTACAAAGAGGAGAATCAGAATCTCCTAGAACGGTGGACCTTGGAAGAGGTCTCAGAGACCCCTTAACACCAAGTGTCTCCTTGATCTGTGGGGACACACACAATGCGTGACAATCATCTGCGAGACACACTCCTCTGAGCAGCCCCAGATAACAGTTGTGATAAAGGCAGGGTGGTTCATGCTGTGTGCACCACTCCCTGTGCACCAGCTGTCACCAATCCCCCAAATTCCCAGAGAAATGGAAAGTATGGAGGATGACATTATAGGGATAATCTCCATTCTGTAATGTTTTAAGATATAAAAATGCAAACTTTTGATAATTTAATTGTTATTAGTCCCACATTCAGGGTAAGAACTACTGCTGTGGTCCACTCCTTCAATTTTCAAGGATAAAATGAGACATACAGAGGTCCAGAGAGGGGAATCCAGATACCCAAGGTCACACTGCAAGTTAAAGCAGAGGGTAAAGGTTTCAGATAAGGGCTTCAGCAGGGGGACCTCTGGAGACTCGGGTGGGAGCTGTCTGGCTGACACACTGGCACCTGCTCCAAGCCTCTATCTTTACTCTTCATCTTCTTCCTGGACTCCAGACCCAAATGACAAAATGGCCCACTGGAGCTCCCTAACTGGTCATCTTTCACACACCTCAAATTCAATCTGTCCCAGTGAACTCACTCTCTTCCCCTCCCCCACTCCAACCTGTCTCTCACAAAGTTCACCTTATTTCAATACCTGGTGCCACGATCCACTGGGTTGTGCCCATGTCCAAAATCAGGAGTCATCCTCAGCTCCTTTCTCTCCTTCACCCAGTCACCTGCCAAGTCCTAATTCTAGCTCTCCAGCACCTCTGGAATCTTCTCTCTGCTTCTCTATGCCCTAGTCCTGACCTCCGCCATCCCAACTGCGCCCCTATCATGGCCTCCTTCCTATCTGGTCCCCTTACTTCCAATTTCACCCTTGCCAATCCCATCTCCACACAGTACCGGGGTGATCTTTATAAAACATGTGTCCCTTGCCCTGGCTGGTGTGGCTCAGTGGTTGGTGTGTTGCCCGAGTACAGAAGGGTCTGAGGTTCTGTTCCCGGTAAAGGGAATGTACCTGGGTTGCAAGTACCATCCTGGGCCCCAGTTGGGGCATATAAAGGAGGCAACCCATTGATGTGTCTCTCTCACATAGATATTTCTCTCTCCTCCCTGCCCCCCCCCCCCTTTCTAAACACGGGTTGAGGATTAACAACAACAACAACAACAACAACAACAACAAAAAACCCCACCTGTCCCCTGCTTTAAAATCTTGGTCTTGCCTTCCAGACCAGAATGACTGGTTCTTCATCCTTCTTGCTTTGGGTCACCTTCTCAGTCTAACACCCCCGCCCCTGCCCCAACTCCACACCCGCACCCACCTTGGTCTTGCCCTGCAGACTCTTGATGGCGGCCTCAGCACACAGATAGAAAGCCCCGATGCACTGTGCCTCCAAGCGCGAGGAGTCAAGCAGCGGCACTAGGCGCTGCAGGTCGTCGGGCCCGCGACCCTGGCTTGTGTCGCTGGCGTCCACCAGGCAGCGGGCGAAGCGGCCGGGGTCCAGGGAGGCCACGAGCGGCTCCACGAGCGCCAGCGTGCCGGAGCGCTCTACCTCGCGCTCTACCTCCTTGTTGGTGGCCAGCACCGCCACGGCGAGGCAGGCGTGCAGCCGCAGCAGCTCGTCTTCTTTGGAGAAGGCGAGAGGGAAGAGCCACTCGGCGGTGCGCTTCTCCACCATGCGGCGCTGCGCCGCCTGGCCGCCGTGCAGGGCGCAGTTGGCCAGCGCCAGCGCACAGTGGCGCAGCAGCGCCGAGTCGGTGCGGCGGCACCAGTACAGCACCGCATCCAAGCCGCCGGCCGCCACCAGCCGCTCGCACGTCTCTTCCGAGTGCTTGAACATGTGCTCCAAGATGCCTGCCACGCTCCGAGCCAGCTCTACCGGCTCGCGTTCCTTTGCCAGGTTCAGAATGACGCCCAGCCCGATGCGCGCCACCCGGTCCCTGCCGAAAGAAAGTGGAGGGGGACGGTGGAGTTGCCGGGCCCGCGGTGTTGGCTTGCCCCTTGGTCACTTATACTCTGTGGGCCTCACTAATGTCATATAGGACATGAAGGACAGCATTATTCTTCCGGCCTCCCCCCTCACCTCTTGCCTGGGAAGACCGGACTTCTCTGATTATAAGGGTGCTTCCTCCTGGCCACACCCATTCCTTTCCTATACCCTCCCATGGACACGCAGTATGTGTCCTGGTTAAGAAACCCAGCTCTGGGCAGGTTTTGCTCAGCGGTTAGAGCGGCGGCTTGCGGCGGCCTGCGGTCCAAAGAGACCCGGTTTAGGTTCGCGCTAAGGGCACGTACCTCTGTTGCAGTTTGTCCCCAGCCCTGGTTGGGCCGTGTGGGTGGCAACCACTCTATGTGTCCTTTTCACGTCGATGTTTCTCTCTCTCTCTCTCTCTCTCTCTCTCTCTCTCTCTCTCTCTCTCTCTCTCTCTCCCCCCCTCCCACTCTATCTTAACAAAAAATGGAAAAATGTCCTCGGGTAAGGATAGGAAAACAAACAAACAAAAAAGAAACCCAGCTCGGGTGCTGGCTTCGCAGGGGATATGGTAAAATTGGAACGATACAGAGAAGATTAGTGTGTCCCCTGCGCAAGGATGACACGCAAATTCGTGAAGCGTTCCATATTTTTCAAAGACATTGGAACACATGGAGGCTAAATAGCATGTTATTAAACAATGAATGGGTTACTGAGGAGATCAAGGAAGGAATTAAAAATTTTCTGGAAACCAATGAAAATGAACACACAACAACACAAAATCTATGGGTTGCAGCGAAAGCACTTCTGAGAGGAAAGTTCATAGCACTACAGGCCTTCCTCAAGAAACAAGAAAAATTTCTAATAGACTATCTAACCTCACACCTTAAAGAGCTAGAAAGCAAACAAAAAGAAAACTCCAGAGCAAGTAGAAGGAAGGAAACAGTAAAGATCAGAGCAGAAATAAATGACATAGAGACAAAAAAAAAACCACAAAAAACAATTCAAAAGATCAATGAAAAAAAGAGCTAGTTTTTCGAAAAGATAAACAAGACCGATAGACCCTTAGCTAGCCTCATCAAGAAACAAAGACAGAGAACCCAAATACACAAAATCAGAAATGAAAGAAGAGAAGTAAAAAGTGACACCACAGAAATACAAAGGATAGTTAACAAATTACATGAACAATTATATGGCAACAAATTCGACAATCTAAGCGAAATGAACAAATTTCTAGAAACACATAGTCTCCCAAAAATGGACCGGGAAGAGATAGAAAATTTGAACAGACCAATAACAACTAAGGAAATTGAAGAGGTAATCAAGACTCTCCCAGCAAACAAAAGCCCAGGCCCAGATGGCTTCACGGGGGACTTTTACCGAACATTCAAAGAAGAACTAACACCCATTCTCCTCAAACTATTTCAAAAAATTTGAGAAGAAGGAAGACTTCCAAACTCGTTTTATGAGGCCAGCATAATTCTAATTCCAAAACGAGAAAAAGACACTACAAAGAAAGAAAACTACAGGTCAATATCCCTGATGAACATAGACGCCAAAATCCTGAACAAAATACTAGCAAATTGGATCCAGCAATACATCAAAAAAATTATTCACCATGACCAAGTGGGATTCATCCCAGGGATGCAAAGCTGATACAATATTTACAAATCAATAAATGTGATACACCACATAAACAAAATGAAGAATAAAAAACACATGATCATATCAATAGATGCTGAAAAAGCATTCGACAAAATCCAGCACCCATTTCTGATAAAAACACTCAGCAATGTGGGAATAGAGGAATCATATCTCGACATAATAAAGGCCATATATGAAAGACCTATAGCCAATATCATACTCAATGGGCAAAAACTAAAAGCATTTCCCTTAAGAACAGGAACAAGACAGGGATGCCCACTTTTGCCGCTCTTATTTAACATAGTACTGGAAGTCTTAGCCACAGCAGCCAGACATGAAAAAAAAAATAAAAGGGATCCAAACTGGAAAGGAGGAAGTGAAACTGTCATTATTTGCAGATGACATGATATTATACATAAAAAACCCTAAAGACTCCATCAAAAATCTACTAGACTTAATAAATGAATTTGGCAAAGTAGCAGGATACAAAATTAATGTCAAGAAATCAACGGCATTCTTATACACCAATGATGAACTCACAGAAAGAGAAATTAAAAAAAAAAACAATCCCATTTACCATTGTGGCAAAAAAACAAACAAACAAACAAAAAAAAAACCTAGGAATAAACTTAACCAAAGAAGTAAAGGACCTATTTGCAGAAAACTACAGAACATTGAAAAAGGAAATAGAGGAAGATATAAAAAAGTGGAAGTATATACCTTGTTCATGGATTGGAAGAATTAACATCATTAAAATGTCCATATTACCCAAAGCAATCTATAGATTCAGTGCAATCCCCATCAAAATACCAACAACATATTTGACAGAACTAGAAAAAATACTTCAAAAGTTCATATGGAACCAAAAAAAGACCCTGGATAGCCACAGCAATCTTGAAAAGAAGGACAAAGTAGGTGGAATCACAATACTGGATATCAGGTTATACTACAAAGCTACTGTAATCAAAACAACCAGGTACTGGCACAAGAACAGGCATATAGATCAGTGGAACAGAATAGAGGACCCAGAAATGGACCCAAGACATTATGCTCAATTAATATTTGACAAAGGAGCCCTGGCCGGTTTGGCTCAACAGTTAGAGCGTCCGCCTGCGGTCCGGAGAGACCCGGGTTCGGTTCCCGCTAAGGGCATGTGCCTCGGTTGCAGTTTGTCCCCGGCCCTGGTTGGTCGTGCGGGTAGCAGCCACTCGATATGTCCCTTTCACATCGATGTTTCCCTCTCTCTCTCTTCCTCTCTCTCCCTCCCACTCTGTCTGTACAAAAAATGGAAAAATGTCCTCGAATGAGGATAAAAAAATATATATATATATTTGACAAAGGAGGCAAGAGCATACAATCGAGTAAAGACAGCCTCTTTAATAAATGGTGTTGGGAAAATTGGACAGCTCCATGCAAAAAAAGAAAAAAGAAAAAAAGAAACTAGACCATCAACTTACACCATACACAAAAATACACTCAAAATGGATAAAAGACTTAAATGTGACCTGTGAATCCATAAAAATCCTAGAAGAAAATTAGGCAACAAAACTTCGGACATCATACACAGCAGAATTTTCACTGACACATCACCCAAACAAAGGAAAAAATGAACACATGGGACTACATCAAACTAAAAAGCTTCTGCACAGCAAAAGATACAATCATCAAAATGGAAAGGCAACCCACTGTATGGGAGAGCATTATTGCCAATGATATATCAGCTAAGGGGTTAATTTCCAAAATATATAAAGTGCTCATACAACTCAACAAAAGGAAGACAAAGAGTCCAATAAAAAAAACTGAACAGTGGAGTTAAATAGACACCTCTTCAAACAGGACATACAAATGGCTTAAAGACATATGAAAAAATGCTCAACATTACTAATCATCAGAGAGATGCAAATTAAAACAACAATGAGGTATCACCTCACACCTGTCAGAATGGCCGCCATTAACAAATCATCAAACAAGTGTTGGTGAGGGTGTGGAGAAAAGGGGACTCTAGTACACTGTTGGTGGGAATGCAAACTGGTGCAGCCATTATGGAAAACACTATGGTGTTACTTCAAAAAATTAAAAATTAAATTGCCTTTTGATCCAGTGATTCCACTTCTATGAATATACCCTAAGAAGCCTGAAATACCAATCAGAAAGAATATACGTATCCCCATGTTCATAGCAGCACTATTTACAATAGCTAAGATCTGGAAACAGCCCAAGTGTCCATCAGTAGACGAATGGATAAAAAAGCAGTGGTACATATACACAATGGAGTACTATGCAGCTGTAAGAAAGAAAGATCTCTTATCCTTTGAGATGACATGAAGGGACCTGGAAAGTATTATCCTAAGTGAAACAAGCCAAACAAAGAAAGACAAATATCACATGATCTCACTTATTTGTGGAATATAATGAACATAACAGTCTGAGGAATTGCGTAGACCCAGAGATGTGGATGTAGGGTACAGACTGACAACCCTCAGAAGAGGGGGTGGTGAGGGGAGGGAAGAGATAAACCACAGAACTTACATGCATGTACACATAACCGATGGACATGGACAACAAAGCCGGGTATGGGGTGGAGGGATGGGGAGGAGGGTGTTAATGGGGAAAAAAAGGAGAAACATCTGTAACAAAAATAAATTAATAAAAAATTTTTAAAAAGAAAAGAAAGAAAGAAATCCAGCTCTGGAGCGGATCCCCGGGATCCTGGTTTCAAATTCTTTGCTATTTTCGCCCTGGTGTGATTCCGTGCGCGCGTCTGTGCTGCGGAACACAAGTCGTTTATCTCCGTCCGCCTTCTCTCACCTAAGTGCGTGCTACCACCCCATGGAAGATTCAATGGACATGGACATGAGCCCTCTGAGGCCCCAGAACTATCTTTTCGGTTGTGAACTAAAGGCCGACAAAGATTATCACTTTAAGGTGGATAATGATGAAAATGAGCACCAATTATCTTTATGAACAGTCAGTTTAGGGGCTGGTGCAAAGGATGAACTGCACATTGTTGAAGCAGAGGCAATGAATTATGAAGGCAGTCCAATTAAAGTAACACTGGCAACTCTGAAAATGTCTGTACAGCCCACGGTTTCCCTCGGTGGCTTCAAATTCTTTGCCATTTTCTAGCTGCAGGACTTTGGGTGCCTTCCTTCATCTTTCTACCTTAGTTTCCTCATCTCATAAGTAGGATTAAAAAAACAAACAACACACCACCTACTCTATAGGTTTATTATGAGAATGAAATGTGATAATCCATTTTAATGTGGTAAAGTGCTTGCCACGGTGCCTGGCACAAACGAATTAATAACTGTTAACTTCTTATCA